TATTTCCACCAAGACGGCACATGCTTAGAGGAAGATAAAGCCAACAAGTTAACCATTTTTGATGCAATTGAAGTTCTTTTTGTACTCCTTTTTCTAACTTATGGACTAATACTTCAACTTCAGAATCATTCATAAATTCTGTACTTTGTAGAAGTTCGCCACCAAAAAATGAGTAGAGGTTTTCTAGAATATTCACAAGTTTATTTGTTGAATTAACAATAAAATCTGGCATTTGATGCGCTCGACGACCAGGTGGCAAACATTGAAGTGAATTATCAGGTTGCATAACCTTTAATTGAGGATTATAACCAACAAGAAATTCAGAAAATGAACAGTAAAATTCCTGACCAAATTTAACTAGACATTGGACTTCAATATTTAATTTAGAATCGTTTAACCAATTCTGAAACAGTTTCCATTTTTGAATATAGGAACTTGGAACCTTTTTTAGACTTTTTAGTTTTGGAAGAAACCATGCAACAAAGTCTATATGAGCATTACGTCTTTCAAGGTATTGCTCAGCCGTAATTAATTCGTATTGCCATTTTGACCGTAAAGGACGTTGATATTTAGTTAGGTGATAATTAAGCCGTGCTTTATATAAGCTTTGAATAGTTTCACTTCTTATATTCAATGGCGAATCTTTATCACTTTGATTATATCCGTCGTGCAACATTTATGCCAAATAAAGAAGATTAAATGGATGGCGTGTCTTCAAAAATCCAGTGCTTGTAGAAAGTTTACCAAAGGCCATTTCTTCAAAATTATTTAAAATTAAATGTAGCACATGCAACCCACAAGGAATTCGGACGTAATTACTTTCAGTTAGTGTATTAAATTTTGTTACAGCACCTCCAACATGACCGCTCATGTAATTTGTGTTGTCAGAGAGGAAAGTAAGACACCGTGAGGTATTGAGATTATATTTTGTACAAGTTTCAATGAGAGCTTGGCTAACTGTATTAGAATTACAGCATTGAAGGTCTTTAGTCTCTAAAAGTATAACGTCTGGCATATTTTTTACTGAATTCCAAAACATGAAGCAATTTACTAATATTTTTTTTTCACTCCGACCTGACTCATCTACCATGATCCCGAATGTGAAGTGAGTTGACTAATTGGCATGATTGAATATATCTCTTACATGTACCTCTGATACTTCATGATGCCAACGACTAATAGTCACAGCAGAAATTCCAAATTGTGTATTATCTTCTGTCAAAAAATTAAAAACGGTCTTTATACTAGTTGTTGTGGTGTTGAATGACATTTGGCCAATTTGTGAAAGTTGCATAGCAAGTTTAATAAAATCAGTATTATATTCTTTTTTATTTTGCTTGATTAAATTTCTAATTATGGTTTTCATATTATTGTTCTTTAATTCTAGTGGACGTCTGGCTGTTGCACAAATTTGAGATATATGCCGTTGATGTTTACGCTTGAATTATACAAGAGAACCATTGAGCTTTCGAACTTTATGAGTTATATGGTTATTCATTCATTGCAATTTTCTTATATTTTGTTTAAGTTGCTTGTTTTGATGATTTATTACTTCCCAGGTTTGTAAAGAGAATCTAATATATATTGAAATGCTTTGTTTTGTATATAAGGAAATATAATGCAATCCTTATTTTTGCCATATGAATATCTCATTGTGCGTAGAAGATGAGATACTGATTTATGATCTGTTTCAGGTATGTCTTGAAGAGAATTGGTGATCGTGTTATATAATTTAGAGAAATTAGATTTATTAACATTCGGAATATTAAATATTGTATCATGTATTATTTTAAGTTCTTGTTTAGTAATTTTATTAAAGTATTTTATTATTTTATTAATAATTTTCTGACATCGAACCAGGCTACGCTTTTCTGTGAAAGATTCAAGTGCACCTTTTAATTGTAAGCTACATTTTGAAAGTTTAGGCATGATGTGTAAAAGGTTCAGTATTAAAATTATAATCTTTAAAAGATGCTTCTCAAAGTTACGCTTTTAGATCTTTATTTATAAAGACAAATTTGAACAAAAACAATTATTTTTTATACATATACAGTTAAGCATTCCTAAATAAAACTCAAGACCAGCCTTGTATTTAGAGGACAATAAGAAAAAATTGCATCTATAGGAGTCTAGAATTTTATAGGGCGCTTTCAAAATTAAATATGGACCTTCTTACCTATTGCTTTACTATTATTATAGAGTACTGGAATAATAGAGTATCTTTCAGATCATTCGTAAGTATTTCATGATCTGCTGCATGAATCGTCACGTAAAGACGATTATTATTTTGAATATGTGCGTAAGAGCAGGGCTTAAAATCCTATAGTAATTTGCTGGCCTGCAGCCTATTGTTTGAAGTGTTTTTTTTTTAATTCATCTTATTGTTTACTATATCCGTCAATTATACTATAGATCAAGAATAACACTATTGAATGGTTGGCATTTCAATATAGTCGTTTAAGCCCTGCGTGAGAGTCTCTTACGTACCCCTATATGTTATTTAGAGTAGTGCATATGCGTTATTTTTGAAACAAAGGCTTGCTGATAACTTAGTTTTTGAAATAATATTCATTCAAACACAAGATTTAAATAGAATCAATAGAACTCAATAGATAATTATCCATTGAGATTCTCTACTTTTTATTTCTTAATGAACAGTAGTGATATAAACCAAACGTAAATGAGACAATTACGACTTTCTACCTAATTTAGGATTGGGTCGACCATTATTATAATTTTATAATTCTAAATCCAATACAAAATCTAAACTGGTGCCTATTTATTTTGTATATCCCAAATCTCAAGGACCAATTGTCGCAGTTCTTACTAGCTACATATATATTTCTGACGAAACAAGGCACCACATAAAGATGAATTTTACGATTTTATAATTATTGAAAGCGAAAGGTAAAATTTTCTTTGACTCTAAATTAATTTACATCATAATTTTATCATATGGTATTTAACTATCCTCAATTACCTCATAATTCGATCATATAGTATTTGACCTTTATCTTATTACACATTTTTCATATGCTGTAATTGATTCTTAATCGATTGTTAATATTAGCATAATTATCTGATCGATTTGAGTATACAATTACCCATGACTCAATCGAAGATACACGTGACCATGAAAAACTATTCTAATTGTCAAGTATTTTATTTTTTATTTTTATTTTTTTTATACGGTCCTAATGTTTTTCTTTAACTTAAATATTTTTTTACTGTTATTTCTCATATAACGTATCTTGAGTTCCAAATCTCATCATACAACTAATCCTACCCATAACACCAATCATCTCTACAAAACAATCATGGCGCAGAACAAAACAAAATGATAGTGTGGGCGAATTATTTTCACAATTGTGAAAATAATTCTCCTGCATCACTAGATAATAATAATTTATTAGCCTTATGATTTGTGCCCTAGCAAATGATACGTAAATTCAGGGTACAGTACAACCAGGCTTAAAATCCTATAGTAATTTGCCGGCCTGCAGCCTATTTTTTGAGGTGTTTTTCTTGATTTATCTTATTGTTTACTATATTTACCAATTATACTATAGATCAAGAATGACACTATTGAATGGCCAGCATTTCAATATAGTCATTTAAGCCCTGACAGCAACTATATGCGTATACTGTAAATAAAAAAAAAAACTAAAAATCAGATTCAATAATTTTTAGATCTTTATACTAATTTATGTAACCCCAAATCCCAAACCTAAATAATAAACCTGCTATTATATAGAATAATTGTTTGAACTCCTTACTGCAATGATAGATGCATAAATGAAATTTTGAAATTTTGCTATTCGGATTTGATCTGTTTAACCATTGAGGTTACTACAATAACTACTATTGTAGAGATTCACGGGTTTGTTCGACACCTCTATATCTACACAAATACAGTAGATTTGTATAGTTTATTGATATCTGTATTCGTACATTGTGCGATTTTAACTAAATTATTCACCTGTTTACCTTTTTTGTAATAATTCCTCAATAAAATTAAATATATACGATTAAGAATTCTATATAAACGCATAATTTTTGAGATAATTAGTTATATTTAATTTAAAAATACTGTAAACCATATAGATCAAGAATGACACTATTGAATGGCCGGTATTTCAATATAGTCATTTAAGCCCTGACAGCAACTATACGCATATACTGTAAATAAAAAAAAAACTAAAAATTAGATTCAATAATTTTTAGATCTTTATACTAATTTATGTAACTCCAAATCCCAAACCTAAATAATAAACCTGCTATTATATAGAATAATTGTTTGAACTCCTTACTGCAATGATAGATGCATAAATGAAATTTTGAAATTTTGCTATTCGGATTTGATCTGTTTAACCATTGAGGTTACTACAATAACTACTATTGTAGAGATTCACGGGTTTGTTCGACACCTCTATATCTACACAAATACAGTAGATTTGTATAGTTTATTGATATCTGTATTCGTACATTGTGCGATTTTAACTAAATTATTCACTTGTTCACCTTTTTTGTAATAATTCCTCAATAAAATTAATATATATGATTAAGAATTCTATATAAACGTGTAACTTTTAAGATAATTAGTTATATTTAATTTGAAAATACTGTAAACCAAAATGCCTTCTCATTCCGTTCTTATTGTAGTTATTACTGGAGTAAAAAGTAGCCAACTATGTTCACACGGCTTCGCTAAATACAAGCCATCAAATGAAATATCTTATACCATTCAATGGAAATATTTTTTTCCTATGAACGAACAGCCCCAAGTAATCACGATTGGTAATGTCATATGTTTTTCAGGAAAATTTGTAGTTGAAAATTTTGAACAGTGTCTCACCATAGCATCTGCAAACATTCTTGATGCTGGACATTCAAATCCTGAATTTAATATCGCCAACATTCCTTCATGTATCCTACACTGTATGCTTTCTGCATTCGTTACTCGTACTCTTCAAAAAGTTAATGATTTTATTCATTTCAGTATGGAATGTTTGGAATATAATGCTATTACCAGTATACCAAATGTCAAGATGAAGATAACTGCTATTTACCCCTTCCACTCAATAAGATTTCAAAAATATTTGGGCCCTTCAGGGTCAAACATTAAATTAGATAACGTTTATTTGATTTCCGGGTTCGTCAAATTTTCAACTTCTGATAAACTCATGATAGAGGCAACCGACATAGATTATATAAGGACAAACGTGAATTCTAATATGTTTGAAAGTTCCTCTTCGTTACCCAGTACCCGATCAATTATCGACATTATTGCTGATAATATTGAATCGGCTACTATTTCTACTTAAAAACAGGATCGTTCTTCAATTAAATCTAATACTATTGCTGCTCATAAATCATCTGAAACTCCAATAGTGATTATTGATGATGATACAGAAAGTAATTCGGATGACAAGGAAAAGCAACCCAATTGCAAAGATGATAAAAAAGTTACTAGCATTAAAAGGGTCACAAGAAAAAAAAAAAGACCGAAAGTAACTATTAAAATTTAAGAGTTTTGATAGGTTAATAAATTACAAACATCAATTTTATTCATATTTAGTCTTATAATTTCAAAAAAATTGAAATTGAATAAGCCAAACCAATGAATATAGGTACTCAAAAAAAAACAATTTCCTCTATTTTATTTAGGCTAGGGCTGTTTATTTTTTTCTTTGCGTTTTTAATATATTGATACTAGAGGTTGGAATCAAACATTTGAATAACTGAATATTCGAATCAATTCGTATTAATTACGAATTAATTCGAATATTTAAAACCATTATACAGCTATTATAAAGCCGTCACATCCATTACTTACTATTACATAGTCATTACAAAACCATAATTATAAAATGTTATAAGATTATTATAAGAAATTATTTTTAGCCGTTATACAATATACAACCATTACATTACTGCTATAGACAACAATTAGATTATCTTATTCAGAATTTTGTGTTTTTTTATTAAGATCTGTTGACAAGATCAATCTTTTCCGCACAAATTCAATATCCCAACCATGTTGAGCAAATATTCAATCGAATATTT